GTGTCTTCCCTGGTGAACTTGATGTTTTTATCCACAGCGTTGATGTGCGCAGTGAAGGATTCCACTTCTTGTGTCTTGATTTTGACCCCTTGTCTCGTTAGGTCTGATTTGTCCCAGCTTTATTCCCACCTGTTCCCCATCCTTTCATTATCTCTCTGTGTATTTAAGTCCTCTGTCCTCTTTTGTTCAGTATCAGGTTGTCTGTTGTGTTACGGTTCCTGGTATCGGTGTATCCATGCAGCGGTTCATGTGTTGGGTTTTTAATGTTTATGTTTAGTTTCCCCAGTTTAGGTTATTGTTTATTCTCGTCTTTGTTTGCCTTATGCATTATTTTGTATTTCTTCATCAGCCACATTAAACGGCTCACTTTTTCTTAATACTCAGGTTTTGGTTCCACGTTCCTTTGTGTCTGCATTTTGGGTCCACTCTTCACAAATGTATACAGTCTGCTTTGGCAAACTGTGACACTTGCTTCATCCAAGTATTAAAAATTCTGCCAGTTCGTCCAGTTAATTTTGAAAAGTATTACATGTGGAATATGTGCTAGTGATGGGTCGGTCGCGAACGAAATGGCTCTTAGAGCTGGATCTTTGAAGTGAACGAGGCGAGCCGGCTCCTAATTGGGAGCCGTGGGGGGGGGTTGTTTTTTTTCCTTTCTCTTGCCCTCTCTTTCACTTTGTTCGCTTCACGCTGCAAGTCACCCTTGTGTTTGCGCTGAGCAGAGATGGCAAACAGAGCCTTGCGTTTGCGCCCCTCCCCCCTCTGCTCAGCGCTGAGCTGAGGGGGCGGGGCGGTAGTTACACTGGCAACAGCAGTAGCGCACAACAAGAGCAGGAGGGAGAGGGAAAGAAAGACAGCCGGGAACAAGAGACAACACCGTCACATTGGAAAGGTACAGTAAAGAAAATGAGTGACACCAAGAAAAGAAGCAAAGTCTGGAACCATTTAAATCTTATTGACAAAACAAAGGCAGAGTGTAGAGTCTACAAGAAAAGGATATCATATAGAGCCATAGAGACAATACATCTTTGTGTGTCAAAGAGCTTTTCAAAAAAAAAGAGAGAACATATATGTTTAAAGCACTTCTGGTGGTAAAATGAGGTCTAACCGAGTAGTAGTAACCTATTCTTAATTAACTTTATGATTGCTGCCTTTTGCAGCACTGCAAATCCATCCTGTGTATCTTAATAGTGGTGATCATTTGGTAGCATTAACATCTTTTGGAGAACATGTGGCGCAAGACGAGCAAGCGCAGATGTGCACACAAATAAGAGTAATGTTGCATCGACATAAGGTGAATTCACCTTCTCAACAGGGCGGGGTGTTCAGTACTGTCCTATTCACTTTCTGAGAAATTGAAACTGAAGAGCTGAACAAAGGAATAAAGCCTATTTCACTTCCTGTCCTTCTCACAGATCGTGTACTTCTTTCTTACGTCTCACCATGAAACTTCTTGGAGCTCTGATCCTGGTTTTGAGTTTGTCTGCAGGTAAGAGCA